CGAGCCTGCCCTCCTGCCCTGAGGAATGGGTCCCAGGTTCTCACAGGGAGGGTGCCGGCTGCCGGGCTGCCCTTAGCATCAACATCCCCATCCTGCACACGTGAGAGCCCGGCCCTGACCTCGGGGGTCAGAAGCAGCCCCCCCAACAAACACCCACACCCACACACTGAGCACACACACACTGAGCGCACACACACTGAGAATTCACTAATGAGTTAGAACTCTGGGCGCCCTCAGTCCTGAGCGGAGATCTGGGGGAGGGAGGTAGCGTGGGAGGGAGTCACGCTTCAGCAGGATTTGATCTCAACAGCATCAGCCTGGCTTCTCCCCCTGGGAACAGAGCGGTTCCCACTGTGGGGGGTGGGTGGGGGGAGCAGTGGGGAGAAGCACAAGGAGCAGTGCACGGCACCTGGATCCCATAACCCAGGGGGTGGATCCGCTCGCAGCCTGGGCTGTTTACAGCCCCGCACCCAGCCCACATTGGAGGCGGGGGATGGACGCAGGCCCACTGCGAGGCCAGGGGGTCAATGGGAAAAAATCATTTTAGTCAACACGGGGCCTTCGTGCTTGGAACTCCGGTCCAAACTGTGGCGCGTTCTCATGCTCCCCCTGCGTGGGCGCCAGGCCCCTCGGAGGCACGTTTCCAGGGATTGGGTTGGGGGCCCGGACCGCTGTTTCCACACCCCCAGGCTCCAGCGCACAGAGCTGAGGACTGCAAGGATGCAAAGAGGGGAGGAAGCCAGACCCCCAGAGATCTGTGCCCCCATATCAGAGAGAAGGGTGAACTCCCTCCTGGGAATCCTAGTCACTGGCCACGAGGCTGCTCTGGCCAGGCAGGACGGCTGGCCGGGTCCCCGGGGGAGCAGCTGGCTAGGCCATGCGGGCGGGGAAGGTGGCAGGTGCGGCGACACCTGCTCAGGGCGGACGGAGCAGCGGGCCCACGCCAAACGGTGTCCCTCTGGCCTCCTCCTCACCGGACTCTGAGGCCATCGCTCCTCCTGGGGGGCCCGGGACTCCGGCCTCGGCTCCTGGAAGGGAGAGCCTGGGCCCCCGGGGACCTGAGTGAGGGGAGGCTTTCTCTTTCTGGCCTCAGTCCTCAGGGCGCCCTTTCCTAGATTCCAGACCCAGGAGGCCTGATTGGAAGAGAGAGAGAGAGAGAGAGAGAGAGAAGAAGAAGAAGAAGGAGGAGGAGGAGGAGGAGGAGGAGGAGGAGGAGGAGGGGGAGGAGGGAGGAGGAGGAGGAGGGGAGGGAAGAACGAAAAGGAGGAGGAGGGGAGGAGGAGGAGGGAGGGAGGGAGAGGGAGAGAGAGAGAAGGAAGGAAGGAAGGAAAGAGAAGGAAGGAGAAGACAGAAGACAGAAGAGGAAGGAGAAGGAGGAGGAGGAGAAGGAGGAGAAGGGAGGAGGAGGAGGAGAAGGAAGGAGAAGGGAGGAGGAGGAAGAGGAGGAGGGGAAAGGAGGAGGGGAAAGGAGGAGGGGAAGGAGGAGGAGGAGGAGGAGGAGGAGAAGAGCGAGAAGAGAAGAAGAGGAAGACGAAGAACGAGATGAGGAAGCAGAGAGAGAGAGATGAGAGGAGAGAGGAGGCGAAGCTCTCGAGAGGAGATATTGGAGAAAGCATGGGAGGGGTGGCGGAGGAGGAGAGACAGCCCCCAGTGCACGCCCACTGGTTAAGTGCCTGCCATGCACCGACCTGCTGTCCCACAGGCTCACTTCCAGGGCATCTGGAACTGACCAGCTTGAGCCAGAGACAGGCCTCTGCCCTCTGCAGCGGCAGAGCCTCCCCAGCTCCAGCGCCCGCAGACTCCCAGGATGCCCGGGCCCCGTCACCGAGCTGTCCCACCGCCCCTGGACGGTGGCCACCCAGACCCCACCCGTCACACACTCCATGGTCCTCAGCCACGCCTGCAGCACCGCCGGCCGCAGGGAGCCCGCCCCTACACACGCTAAACACATGTATGTCCCCAACCCCTCCGTGCCCGTCGCGGCCCGGCCACGCCACATCAGACACGCGAGCCCTAGGTGTGGGGTGACACCTGCTGCTTCCGCCCAAGATCTGCCACGACTCCCCTCCATCTCCTTCTATCCGTGCCTCCCAGGAGCCACGGGCCCTCTGTGAACCGGGGCCCCGAATGGGGGGCTAGAAGGGAAGTCCACAAAAGGCCTAACTGCCAAGGGCAGGAGGGTGGGGACCCTCTCTAGCTCGTTAAGGAGTCTGGGATGGTCACTGAGAATGTCTGCCCCCAAGAAGACCCACCCCTACAAAAATGGAGACAGGGCGCCCGGAGCAAACCCGCCACCGTCCGTCCCAGCCCCAACGTCGGGGTGCTGGGCACCCAGGCAGAGCCCCTTCCAATTGCCCCTCTGGAATCTCAGTGGATCAGCTCAATATGGTCCGGGACGGCGGGGAGTCCATAAAAGAGGCCAGTGAGCCCTCCAACAATGAGCTCATTCAGCGCCATCGCGTCCTCTGCCCCCATCTGCGGACTCGCCTCCATCCCCATGAATCAGTCCTGTTGTATGAAAACGGGGGGAGGACGGGGGTGGAGGAGGGAAGGAAATGGCAGGAGCCACTGGTCGGGCTCACAGGAAGGCGAAGGCAGTGCCCGGGCCCAAGCAGAGGCCCACGTGCCAGGTGGTCCTGGGAGATAGTGGCGACGTCCGCTGCCCAGGTATGGCATGGACGTGTCAGGAAGGTCCCCGCCCGAGCACTCCCAGTGTCCCCTCCGCCGCCCTCCCGGCCCTGCCCTCCGACGGGGGTGCGCTCTCGGGATGGCCCTTGCAAGGCGCACCGGGAAAGTCCCGCCTCAAACAGGCACAAGGAGTACTGCCTGCCTCCCCCCACACCTCCATGTTCCCCCGTAGAGTTGAGCCCATTTAGAACTAAGGGCTACTCCGCTGCACACCTTCCTGGACTCCCAGGAAGAGGGGGAACAGACCTGCCTTTATGAGTGACAGCGAGTGACTTGTTTGTGATGAAGATCTGCACGTGTGCCATTGTGTGCAACTCGGCTGAAAGCCATCAGAGGTCTACAGCCTTCTAAAGATGGGGAGACAGATCCAGCCCTCTGGGTCATAGTTCCCCCAGTTCCCCTAAAAGCCAATTCCACCTGGGAAGGAGGGGGGTTCCTTTTTAAAACAGAAACCTCCAAGATCTTCAGATTCCACTAGGCCAGTGGTCGGCAAACTCATCAGTCCACAGAGCCACATATCAACAGGACAACGATTGAAATTTCTTTGGAGAGCCACATTTTTTAAACGTAAACTATTATACTTCTAACGCCACTTCTTCAGCATAGACTCGCCCAGGCCGTGGTATTTTGTGGAAGAGCCACACTCAAGGGGCCAACGAGCTGCTGTTTGCCGACCACAGTCCTGGTGTGTATTTCCTGTGGTTAATTACGCACTGTTAGTCTCCACATCTTGGACTTTTCGCTTTCGTGTCCAAGAGGCCAGCTGACTGGCTCCCGGTCATCGTGGCAATGGAGAGAACAAAGTCTTGATCCGGGGCCTTTTCATACAAGGAGGCCTGGGAAGGCGGTGGCCATCCGTCTCTGTCTGCCCGGGACTGAGGGGTTTTGGGGCTGCTGGACTGTCAGTGGGAAAACCAGGTGAGTCCCGGGCAAACCGAGACCAGCCACCTCCCAGAAGCCTCCTGGCCTTCCCCGGTTTAATCCTCGGGCTGGTCTGCGAGCTGCTGGCGGAGAGCTCACCCCACTCCCCCAGGCCGGCAGCTGTCTCTGAGGCCCCTGGGAGGGGCTCATGGAAGTGAGGGGAGAACGAGGGGGTCCGCTTAGAAACAGCTGAGCCTCAGCTGGTGTCGGTGCCACTCCCCACTCCTCCCTAACGTCTGACACCCGGGGCTCCTTCTGTCCTTTACGCCCGCCTGATGCCGAGTACGCAGGGCAATGCCGGCTCCTCTGCTTTCTATGCGTCCCTCCTCCTCCTCCCTCTCAATGGGGCTTCTGGCCCATTTGTTCTAAGACTCACTCCGGAGGAGGTGAGAGCCAAGGGATGCAAAATTAGTGAAGAGCTTGAAGTTCTTGTGAGAATGCCAGGATCTCTCCTATGTAAACTTCCCGCGACATCAAAGAAAAGTTGGGCGTGGCCAGGATTTGGCTCCACGCAAAAGGCTTAGGAGCGAGCACTTCCTCACCATCTCCTTTTCTTTTCTTTTTTTCTTTCTTTCTTTTTTTTTAATTGATTTTTTTACAGAGAGGAAGGGAGAGGGATAGAGTTAGAAATATCAATGAGAGAGAATCATCGATCAGCTGCCTCCTGCACACCTCCTACTGAGGATGTGCCCGCAACCAAGGTACATGCCCTTGACCAGAACTGAACCCAGGACCTTTCAGGCTGCAGGCTGACGCTCTATCCTCTGAGCCAAACTGGTTTTGGCACCATCTCCTTTTCTACTGACATCCACAGGAAGCCCCGAGGATAATATATGGTCTCTCTCTCTCTCTCTCTCTCTCTCAGGAGCAATGCTTCCTGAGAACAGGCAGAGCATCCTCAACTCAGAGTCTCCAAAAGCTTCGAAAAGCACACGACGGCCACAGCTGGTGCCCACATTAACTGTGAGGGGCCCCTTCCCTCCCCCCGAGAAGGCAGGAACTGGTGGGGTCCGAGCCACGTCACAGACGTTTCAGAGCAGCTGCCTCCCCGAGTTCACAGAGCATGGTCTTTCCTCACCGGCAGTACCGGTGGCTCTGGCGAGGTATCGCACCCAGCAGCCGGAGCGGCAGGTTAGTCATCGTTAGCCTCCCGGGTCCAGGTGAGGACGCCGAGCCCGCGGAGATTAAGTGACTTGCCCAAGGTCGCGCAGCACGTTAGTGGCAAAGGCTAGATCAGCACCCCCCGGGCCCCGGAGTGCCCAGGCCGGCCCCTGGCTCCGTGAGACCCCTCAGCCTTCCATCCAGAGCGCGGGCACAGCCAGGTGCGTGCCGCCGGGAGCCCTGGAGGCCGGGTGAGCTGCTGCGGAGGGCACAGGCAGGCTCATACTCACAAGCAGAGACCTGCAGGATCCTTCTCTGTACCACCAGACAGCAGCAGCCCTGCGCTGGAACAGACAGAAAGAAGGCTCACGTCGGGAAAGCTTGCATCTCCGCTTCGGGAGTGTGGCTCTGAGACTGTGCTTCCTTTCCCTCTGCGACCCAGGTCTGCTCTCCAGGGCCAGAGCTTGGGAGGATACGTAGTGCCACTCCCTGTAATTCACTCACCATTCATTCATTCATTCATTCCCCCATCGTGTCCCCTTGGAGGAGAAAGACAAGACCCCTATCTTGAAGGAGCTCAATCTAACAGGGGAGGCGTGTCTATAGGAATGCAGCAAATACTTGTTAAGTACCTACAGTGGCACAGGCACCGAGGAAGCTATACCGAACGTAGTGGGTGAAGACAGAGAAACACAGGGGGGCTTCCTGGAAGAGGAGGCATGGGGGGCTCAGTCCTGAAGATGGAGGCGCTGAGACATGAGTCTGAAATGGCGTTGTTAATTGGAAGTCTAAAGAAACCCCGCTGTTAATTGGAGGTCTACCCTTTAAAGAAACCCTTTTCAGAATGCTTCTGTCCTCTGACTTTCTGAGTTCTCACTTCACCTCTTTAGGCCTCAGTGGATCTGTCTCTCAAATGGGAGCGTTCCAGAGGGTGGCTCTTGGGAGAGACGTTCCTACAAAAAGTCCTTGAGAAACGACTTCCTAACGTGGCCCATGGTGCCCGCTTTCCCCCTTGCTCTCAACAGGAAATTGAGTTTTATTTATAAGAATCACAATTCTAAACTGACCTTTGTTGGGCTAACCCACAATCCCTCCCTCGCTTCCCGCCCCTGCTCAAGACCGCCTCCTCCCTGACCACAGAGCCGCCAGCACCGACCAGTGAGTGCTCAGGAAGTCAAGCAGACACACACTGGAGGCTGGCTTCTAGACGGGGAAACTGAGGCCAGGAGAGCTCAGTGGTTGGCCCAAGGAAACAGAGCATGTAGGCCTCCTGGTTCTGAAGCCACTGTTTTCTTTGCTGCACCGTGACTGCTCCCCCCATGCCTCCCCCTCCTTGGTTTGGGGAAAGGGCCCGAGCAGACGCACCCTCCTCCTCTGTTTGGGGGATGTCTCTCTGCTCTGAAGGACAGCGGTCCTTAGAGACACATTTCCCACCAGGAAAGGGGCTGGGAAGAAAGCTGGCGCCGCTCCCTCCGCTTTGAAGCTCCCTGGCCCCTCCTGGCCCTTTGTGCTGGGAACCAGCCCAGCTCCCAGACCTCCTACCCTTCCGAGGAGGGGAAGGGCCCGAAGAATGCCCCCGCCCTGCCCGGCCAGGCGGCACCACAGGTGACCCCTCTGTGTTTTCACTGCCAGAGCATCAAGGGCTCCCACACTCAGCTTCAAAGCCAGAAAGGCTCAAGGTCAAGTGCAATCATGAGCGAGCCCTGGGCCTAGGACTCTGAAGCATCCCATCGGAGGCTGTTTGAAAGCTGTGTTCCCACAGAATCTTGCAAAGCCCATAATAGCTCGATGGGCATAGCATTCGATTTCTGCGGGGATCCCAAGCCTTGGCTGAAGCACACAGCATGTGAGCATGTGGTTAGGGGGAGAGGGGGTCCATGTCACTCCTCGCTTGCTTTTCATTTTCCAGGTGAGGAAGGTATGTAATTACCTATCTTTTGTCCCACAATGATTCTCAACCATGGCTACACATTAGAATCACCTGGGGACGTTTACCAACTAGAACGCCTAAGCCCTAGCACACCTAAGACCAATGAACTTGGAATGTCTACATCCATGTTGTTTAAGCATCCCTGAGGAGTCCTGGGCGGGGCTAAGTTTAAAACCCTCTAGATTCTAGGGGTGTCAACTCAATCAGAGAAGGGGCCAAAATCTAAAATCCAGCCTAAATCGCGGCCGAATGGTTTACTGAACAGTCATAAACTGTCATTGTGATGGAAACGCAGCGGAGTGCAGTGATGACAGCGCGGTGCGGGCCACATTGCAAGGCCTGGCGGGACGGATTTGGCCCGCGGGCCTTGTGTTTGACACATGTGCTCTAGAACAGTGTTTCCCAAAGTTCTCTCATGATGAGAATCACCTGGTGGAGTTGTTAAAATACAGATTCCTGAATCCCAACTAAGAAACTAAGTTAAGTATACAATTTTACCTATATGTTCCCCAAAATTCTAGTTTAGCACCTCTTAGTTGGGATTCGGGAATCTGTAGTTTAACAACTCCACCAGGTGATTCTCATCATGAGAGAAGTTTGGGAAACACTGCCCTAGAACTTCAACAGAGGAAAGCCGGGCTCCTCAGTGTGGAGACACCACCGAACACCCAAGTCCCACGCAGGGAACAGGAATACCGTGTTTCCCCGAAAATAAGACCTAGCGCATGGAAAGGTAAGACATCCCCTGAAAATAAGACCTAGCGCAACTTTGGGAGAAAAAATTAATATAAGACACTGTCTTATTTTCGGGGACACAGGGTAGTAGCAACCAGCCTGTTATCTCTTCGCCTGTTTCTCTTTGTCAGGCCTTCCCGACCACAGATACCTCCCAGATAAGCCCTCAGGGTTTCCACTAACTTGTCTCTCCTCCTCTCCCCGCTCCCCTGCAGCACCCTAAGGCTGCCTGCCCTCTCCTGGAGACCAAACTCAGACACAGGAACACGGGGGTGCAAATCGGAGGGACGCTCTCAACCCTGCGTGTCGGGATCCAGGAGTGATGCAACCTCAGGGAGCTCTGGCCGGACACTCCCGGAGCAATCCACCGCAGGTCAGTCACTCCTGGCCCCGGACACACGCGCCAGCTGGACGAGCCGCAGGAAGCAGAATCCCTGACCACATGGCGAGGTCAGCCAATGGGCTCCCGCAGCCGTGCAAGGATGCCCGTAGGAGAGTCGCAAATATGTAAACATCCGAGGAAAGGAATCTTCTCAAGGCACCGAAGAGACTCACAAACAAGAGGCAGCAACTCCACCATCGCAAAGTCGTAATGCCGACTCTCATAAAAGCTCCATCTCCCTGGGAGGACACTCCCATCCTCGCTTTTGCTGGAGAAGCCACGGCTGCCGAGCAGAACGGCTTCGAGAGAGCGAGGACAGAGGCTGGACATATCTCTGCAGCAGGCACAGGGTGCTACCCTCACCACCCTTTAGCTCCAGACACCTCTTCAGAGGCTGCAACACCATGGGGAACCAAGCCAGCGCCTACAAACAACAGCTAGTGGGAAATATGTATGCAGCAGGCTGGGGAGCGTGGAAAGTAATTTCTCCTACACCCACTGCTTTGATAAGATGTACAAGTTAAGAGAAACCATTTTTGAGAATCTGGAGACAATGTTGAGGCATTCTACTTACTTATTTAGACACCTAGAATGAAGCGTTTCGGTGGCGAATTTTAAGTGTCACCAGTAAGAATTCTTCTGTAGAACTTGAACCTATGTCCGAGAGCCCTGGGAGTGGATCTTGCTTTTTCTTTTGAACTGTGTCGGCAAAGCCACTGGACCTAGTCACTCCATAATTGTCCAAGCTCGCCTTTCAAAGGGGGTGGGGCCTCAGCCTCTGAGAAGCAGAAGGACAGGAAGGTTCGGGTCAGAGCTGAGCTGATGAGTTGAAGATGGGGCCCGACGTGCTTTCTTTTGCACAGACCAACATTGGAATTCAGTGAGTGTTCAAAGCACAACGCACCTACTTCTCACGAGAAGAGAACGGGGAATTTTGCAAGGAAGGGGAACCCCCACATTCCTCCGCTGACAGGTAAACACGTTAGTAGCATTCACCCAGGAGACCTGAAGTGGAGATTTCTCTCGAATCAAACACGGAAAGATGAGCTAGATTAGCCTCTGCGATTCAGATAATTCTCAGACTCAGCTACTTAGCACTCTGCGTCTGATTTATTGCAACACGATGAGGCAGATGACATGTGTTACCCAAAACATCAACACTCCGAACTGGAAATGCAGTCTCCCTCAGCTGGCAAAGGGCCCCTGACTTCCGGGGCGGGAGGGTTTCAAGCTCTCAAGAGGAAACGATAAGGATGAAGCCTCTCTCAGGTCAAGGGCCAAGTCCAAAGCTGGAAATACAGAAACCTCCTGGGAATAACTGGGCATTTGGAAAGAAGACCCCAAATGTAGCCTAACTTAGAGGGAGGAATAAGCTGATGTGAGAGAGGAGCTTGTGGCCTGGACCTAACACACCATTCAGGAATGGCTAGGCCCTGAGCTGGAGGGACCAGGAGCTAACATTTTCCCATCAGGGGGCCTCTCAAGTTCTGAGTTCCCCGGGAGGGTCCCTCCCACAGGGCAGAGGAGGCGGAATGGGGAGGGAGCAGCAAGCAGCCCGTCTACAAGGAGAGGGACTGGGGCTTCCTGCAGGGATCTGGGAGGACTGGGTGAGGGCGCCATCAGTCATTGGGGCACAACACTGACGTGGTCCTGGCAGAATTTCTCTCTCTCTCTCTCTCTCTCTCTCTCTCTCACACACACACACACAGCCCCGGGTTAGAAACCTGGGAGAGGCTTCAGGGAGGTTCACAGAAAGAAAGAATTTGCCAACTCACTTCGCCCTGCAACCTGCAGCTGGCCCCTGCTCCTGGCACAGACCTTTAAGCCTTTGCACGTGAGGCCCTGTCCGCCATGTAGGTCTTTCGCCCTCACCTGCACCTCAGGTAAATCAGATGAGGGGAAAAATCCATGGGAATATCCAAAGCCACAAGACAGGGCTAGCCTGGAAGGGGAATGAAAGCCAGTCCCTAGCGCGTCCTTAATGTCAGTGTCCGCAAACAGTGCCCGGGAGTGCGAGTCCCTGGGAATCTGAGCGTCCGCCACGCTTCTCGCCCTCTCCCAGGGGAAAACACATTTAGTAACAGTTATTTCCTCTGTCAGGTCTGGCACAGCCGAGTCTGGGATGAGAAAGTGCCAGAGGCTTTTCCCAACAGGAAGGGGCGCAGAGGTCCTCCGCTGCGTCCCATCCAGGAGCAGCCCTTTAAGTGCGTTTCCAAAGGTCTGCAGCCCGAGGCTTCCAGACTCCAGCCCGGGGCTCCGGGCACGGGTGCGAGCTGGGCACCGGGCACCACC